CGCCGCGGGCTGAGCCGGCCGCGGCTGCGGACTCCCCGGAGCGCCCGAGAGCCAGCACTTGTTGCTCGCTTCCTCTGCGCATCTCCTCCTAGCAAGGTCTTTTCTTTTTTTTTCCTTGTAATTACAGCTTTTTCTGGAGCGGGGCTTGAATCGATTCTCTCCTTGCGATGGTTTGGGGGTGTGTTAAAGCAATTAACTTTTCTTCATGCTGCCCAGTTTCCTTCCGACTCCCGGGGGAAGGAGTTTTTCGCTCGTGTTCTTTGAAGGGGCAGAGCAAGAAATTGCAAGGACACTGCAGCACGGTCTGCCACTGACAGGGGAGCAGGGCTGATGCTGGGGTGGTGAATTTTCTCTGCGCCCTCAGTCAAGTCATTTATTCTCTTGATGCTGTGGTGTTTGCTTCTTTTATACTGGGCGCAGCTGATACCCACTGTCTTGTCTCAGAGGGTTGTTGAAGTTCAGCTGATATTACAAAGGATCCAGTCCTTCAGACAGGTGCAAAATTAGAATTCCTCATCAACCTCATAATTTGCTCTTCTATTTGATAAACCTTATTAAATGGCTTTTGTTCAGCAACTGGCATCTACGTAAATAATTTGTCCTTGTATGATTTTTGTCTTTTTAATGCTTTCATTTCTTGGCTTTACTCCAAGACTTGCTGGGTTTTTTTTCCAGGGAGCTCTTCTGATGAGGCTGTGTACCCTTCTTTGGCTCATACGAGGGAATGCTTTTTTCTGGTATATTTTGGGAGAGGCAGAGCTTCTTTTGGGATATGTGACTTCGCTTCTTCTCTGACTGTCCATCTGTTTCTACTAATTGCAGGAATAGGGCTCCTGTTTTACCCGGCGTACAAAAGCAAGGAGTACCAAAAGGAGACATGGTGCAGGCAGCCATGTGGTCAGTTTAGCACTTTCCTGAAATGTATTGCCACAGACAAAAACATGTTAATAAACTTGATTGTTATTTGCTCTTCATCCTATCCCATGATGTCAGATCAGGGTAGGATGTCTCAAATGAAATAATGATTTTGTTTAGACATTTTAAAGACCAATGGTCAGCTCATACATACTCCTGTTGAAGGGTGGGGGAGGCAAATAATACAGCTGCATATTTAAAAGATGAAATAATTTTAGGACATGTATAATAATACAAACTACCATTAATTTACGTACACTGGCTCTCCATCTCGTAGGCATTAGTCAGGTGCTTGTGTGACTCGGGAAGTTTTCCCACCACATGTCAATGCATAACCGGCTATGTTTCAGGACCTCTTGTGTTCAGTTAAGCATTAATCCAGTGGTTACCCCCAGGATCCCTATTGGTAACTCTGGTTTTGGCCTTTTGACTCTAATTACAGGACTGCAATCTTAGTTCTGCAATTGAATTTCTGTTATGACCCAACTCATGAGCACCACTGGCTAAAGTGGGGCTGCGGCCCCGATTTTGGTAATTCTGCAGGAAGATACAGGCAGTTACAGGAGGCTGGACGGAAAGGGCTTGGCGTTACAAGCCTGATGGGTTAGAAACTAGAACCTCTCTAAATTCCAGTGACTTCAGAGCTGATCTCTGCTTTCACCAAAGCCGTCCCTTGGGGCATCTCTCTTGTTTGCATTAAGGGACAGAGGTGTGTGTGGACATCCCTCCCCAGATAAGCCCGGTGAGTAGGCTGTAGGAGGAGAGGGCTTGACCATTACTGTATGCCTCGGTTAACTCTAATTTGGATCAGTGCGCGTGAGAGAGAAATGGACTAATGAGAATGCCTGCCTGTTTTCTTTTGGGCAAACAAAAAGCTGACTTGCAGCTCGCTGACATTTCTATAGTCACGTTGCATTGGCAGGACAGGCAGCACCAGTAGTTCTTTTGGAAAGGCAGGACAAGGGGATCGAATGTGTTGTCCCCATCCTGGTCCCCCCACCCTTCCCCACCATGTGAAAGGAGCTCTTTCTTTGAGTGCAAGACGAGAGTGAGTCAGTGCGGCTCTGCAGGGGGATATAAAGCCAGCTTTGTAGTAGCCCTCTCTAGGCTTTCAGTGCCCTAGACCGTGCAGTGCAACGTCACCCTGTTGCAGCCCTCCTTACCTGAGCAGCGCCAGGTCCTTCATGCTTCAGCACACACGTTTTATTGCTCTGGCGACAGTAGTCTGTAACCTGCTGCTTTGCTGCTTCGCTTGTTCTTCTGCTTGGTAAATTAACCTCCCAGGCCGTGGGAATGAGTGAGCCAGCTGCTGCTGTAGACCCTTGCAGGGTTTGTTTGTGATGCTTTGGTAGACATGCAGTTACGTTCCCCCCAGACACACACATGCACGCGCACAAGAAGCAAACTGCATTTGTTAGATCTCTGGCAAGTTCAGACATGCCTTAAAGGGTTTATTATAAGGATAAATGAAGTGCTCAGGCTCTTACTTTCCCCCTCTGTGACCCGCTTTTTGCCGATGAAGTTGGTAAGCCAACTAGGGCACTCCTTGGTAGAGAAGAAAAATCTCCACTTTGTTCTTCCTTGCAGTAAAATAATTATCTTCTAAAATAACTCTTGTTGCTGCTTGGCTGCAGGATTTGATCTCTAAATGCCTGATGAAGTGTTTCTGTGTATCTAGCATCAGCATTTTGATTAAGAGACAACTGGCCACCTCTGCTGTGAAACCCAAGTTTTAAAAAGCTCCTCTAAATTCTGCCCGCTTTCTTAAAAAAAGAAAAAAGTAACGGCCTGGTTCTTCTTTACCTAGCGAAATCAGCGTATTCACTGGTATAAGCTAGGGAGTGCTCTAGAAGAGAAATTACCTCCTGCCTGTATTGCTAATGAGCCTATCTCTGTAACCAGACTCTTTTTTACATACCCAAAAGCACTGATGTCTGCCAGAAATCTTTTGAAGATTCCTGGAAGAATCTAATCATCTTCACACGGCTAGTTTGCTAAGGCTGGTAGAACTGGTTGTGCAATACCGTATGAGCAAATGGACTGGTTTTCATGGATGTAGGACTCTACCCGAACTTTGGCTGCGTGTCTTAGCAGATCGAGACCCAGGCTGTATTATCTGAATAGCGCTTCCTTGTGACCTCAGTCTGGACTCTATTTCCGTGACTTAATTGACATTCCTGTTTCTTCAAACATAGATTTGTTCACCTTCAAACCACAAACAATAAAATCGGAAGCTCTCCACTGTGAAATACACAAACTACTCTGAACTCTGAGGTGTAGGGATCAACAGGACCTCTTTACATATTTATCCTAGAGACATTCTGGTTGGACATGGAATATATTTGGCCAACAATGCAGTGTTAATAATTGCATATTTCATCCACCATGCCTTTTGCAGATCTCAAAGACCTGAAAGCATTTAGCAGAAGAGATTGACACCACTGTTTGTTTTACATGGGGGGAAGTGGAGGCAGAGAGACCTTAAGCAGGGTGCCAGGAACAGAAGCCCAGTTCTGCTCCAGGGCTTAATCCCTGTGATTCCTACTGGAATAGCCATTCTCCGCAAAAAAAGACTCAAGTCTTTATCAAAAGACACCTTGCATTTGGAGGGTGGAGTTGTTGTCAATAAAAATAATTACCAGATCATTTTCCCTTTTGTTTCCTAGATGTCGCCATGCTGCCATAGCGAAGTACTTTGGCGATGTCACCCCACCGTGTAACAAGTGCTGTGATTACTGCAAGAACCCAGGGGCAGTGAAAAGGCAGCTGGAGTCACTGGAGCGCTGCAGCAACAGCTGGAGCAAAACCTGCATTGGGCCCACAAGTTCCTCCTGGGATAGCTATGACCCAGAGCTGTATGAAGGCGGGAGGAGAGGTTGCAGAGGGTTTAGCAGGTCTGTACTTGGTAGCTCAAACTCAGCTCATAGAAGCTATCAGAGAGAAGAGAGCATCTCCCAGCTGCAGGCCCAGCCACTCCTATTTTTTCAGCACATGTTTCTATGTGGTGGTATTTTCCTGTAACTTCCTGGCAGCAGGAGCTGGAATTTAATTTTCCACACGCTTTGGCAGCCTTGATCACATTCGTGTCCCAGAGAGCCAAAAGCTGTTTTGACTGACCTAAGTATTGCCCTGCAGAATGTAATTGGTTCAAGAAACTAGCCTGAAATTTTTTGAAAGCAGTTAGTGGGCTCAGCCTGTTCACAGTCACGAGGATCAAAAATGTTTAAATTGAGACCAATGTGACAGCAAGGTATGACACGATCCAGGGTTCAGTCCTGACTTAGTATGGCTGTGGCCATATGGCATTGCATGTTTAGAATAATTAATAATAGCAGGCTGGGGGGCCACTGACAGGACTTAGTCATCACAGAGGATGTAGTGGAGTGCCAGCATCAGCTGCTTCTGCAGATTGCTAAATTTTAGTGTTTCCCTATCAGGCTGACAGCAAAAGCAAGATGTGCAGTGGGAAACATAATTAATTCTATAAAATGCTTGGCAGTGTGGAGATGACAACTTCCCTTCCTCCTTGTTCTCTGGCTGAGTTGCAGCGATTGTGCAGCTCCGCCAGGATGCAAGTTTCGTTGCCTGCATTGCCTGTGAAGCTCTGCCAGGATGTGCAGCGCTGTCGGCTGGCCTAGCCCTCTGCTTTACCTTAAACAGCTTGAGACTGGTAGCTTTGTTCTTCAGGCAAGTCCAGCTGAGTCGGAGGAAACTGGTGTACTTGTGACCTAAGCCTGTGTTTGATCTCAGGACCTGAGAAGACACAGCCAATGCTGTTGTACAACACACTGTTTGCCACTTGATTTATTGAACCTCTCCATGACTTGGTTGTAGCTTTGCCTTGGAAGTTGTAACGGTCAACAGCCTTAAAACTCTGATTTGTGATACCTGGAAGTTTTGGCTGTGACAGCTGTGGAAGGCAGTAAACTCTTGGGCTACATCTGGCAAGAATCAGCTGCTGCATTTCAGTGTATTAGCGATGGGGATTTCATTTAATACAACAGTCTGCGAACAACCGAGGCTGAGGAATGGATGCTTTGCCCTTTCTGCCATCTCTGCTCCAAAAGCAGTAGTGACTGACAGATGGAGTATATGACGAAAGGCAGTGACTACTCAACCCTGTGGGAGAAACTGGCAGAGCTTCTGAAATGGAGCCCTCCATTCTCAGAGCACTAGTTACACGCTACTAGTTCATGCTACTGCTTACTAATTCATGGGATTAGCAAATCCCATTAATTTTTGGAGGACACTCACTTACTGTCCAGGTTGAGGGATAGTAGTGAAACTAAAAGCTAAGACTTGTTCAGAAAGGATGTGAAATACATCTTCTTTTGTAAATACTGTGATGACCTAGGCTTTCCAAAGCCTGTCCCCCAGTTCATGCTGCAGCTACGGAAGTGTTTATTCCCTTGTTTTCCTGCCTTATCCAGGTATGATGAAGAAAGCAGTGGGAATGGGGATGAAGCCAGTGAAGAGAGTCGGAAACGGGAGTGGAACAACTTCTACAAAAAGCAGATGAGTCTGCGCAAAGTGAGTTGGTATCCCTTTGTAAGAGATTCACAGGTTGTTTTCTATGAGCTTGTCTTACAGACATAAAGACTTCCAGGCACTAATGAAAGTAAATTATTGCATCTTGCTGTTGCTTGCTCTTTTTTTTTTTTACTATTTGTATCTCTGCTTTTGCTGTGTTCTCCATATTCTGGGTCAGTCCCATAAAATGAAGGAACCCAGCTTATTCATGTACTGATTTCTCTGCAGTGCTAATCAAGAAGATCCTGTTGTCTTTAACATCTCTGATATTAGTAAAAACATTTCCCCATTCAGCTTCTCTTGATATTCCTATAGCAAATGTGAACTTTTGGCTTTGATTCTCATCCTTTGTCTCCTTTACCCCACTTTGGTGCCTTTTCAGTACCTTTGTAACTTCACAGCATTAATTTTCCCTGGAGCAGGGATATAAAATGTGTCTTTTGTGCTTCTAGACCTGCATGTGGTTGCAGGAATGGAAATGTTTGACTGATCTTTGTTTTCTTCCAGGGCAAAGAACCAGAAAAGGAAGATTTTGTTCCTCCAAGTAAATACCTTCTTTGATTTATAGTGGGTTTTCTTTGGGAGAAGAAAGTCTTGTATTTTGCAGCTGCATGTAATTTATATAGTGTCAACACTAGAGGTATCAATCCCTAGGCACCAAAGTTAGGCTTTTGGCCGTGAAAGCTTAGCTGGAGGAGATGGATCAGAGCTTAGCTTTGGTTGGGGTGAAGATAGGGAATGCATCCTTCTGAACAACTTCTCCAAATAAGCAAGAGAAGGAAAACTCTGTCTAACTTGACTTTGTAGGCTGTTTCTGCAGTGGTTATGCAGCAGTATTCAACTGGGCTATAAGGAGACTGCTGAAAAGCTTTGCCATTTGTAACTGTGCTACTTGGGGCCCGGTCTAGCAACACAGTTCTGACACTATAGTAAAAGAATACCTGGTAGTTCATGTTACTCTATTCAGCCTCTCCCTTTTTGGTTGGTATTGCGAGGAGCGGAAAAGAGTTGAGTGTTCTAAGAGCTGGGATTCCTTGAAAAAGGGTTTCCTGAGATGGGGAGGTTTTGGAAAGCTGTTAGTCATAAACTAGCAAAGTAGACGTTCTCATCCAGAGAGAAAAATCTCACTTTGGCTTCTGCCTAGTCTTTTGGAGTTTGCAGCTTCTCCAGGTACAAAGGGTGACGGTAGTGCTCCTTGGATTGACTATGCAGGGAGGAGTATGCCAAGCAGTACTGGACTGGCACCCTCCCAGTGACAGTTGAGATGTGCTCCATCAGCCCCAGCCCTGCTATGACGCCTTTTCCAAATGTGTCTTCTGTGGTAGGTGCAGACTGCCCCTTGAAG